TCCCTTTATAAATAGTGATTTCTAGTGTTTTTCTTTCTAAAATTACTACTTTTTTTTCTTTGCAATTTTACATCGAGGAATCATGTTAGGTTGAAAATAAATAAATTGAAGCATAATGTCATAAAGTGAAAGAAAAGTAAGCCAGTAAAAGCCATTTTCATACCATAATAACGAAGCTAAGTTTTGTCCAGTCCATTGTTTTCAAAAGCTTTCCACAAATTCCAAAGGCGCACACAATTTTTGCCAGTAACATGACAATCGGTTAGATATAATATTGTTGATAAACCAACAACAATTGTTAATATAAAACTTTGGAATATATATACTATTAGCTCTTTCTAAAAAATGACAACATCCCTCATCCCTTGTAACTAATTTTTATAAATCAAAAACATAACTTAAAACGATACATTTAACAATACAATTCAACAACATAAAAATATTTATAAATCAAACACAGTCACATGTTGTATAATTCGCATCAAACCTAGACAATCACTTTTTACCGTCCAACGGAAGTCATCGGTTCCGTGATGGTCAAGTTACCTGCAGACTCCTCCATTATCATCTCCGTTTCAAGCACGTTTCTGAATGTCTCGTACCATTTTTCCAACTTCTCGGTCCTAACAATATCGAGCAGATTATCCGGTAACTCAGAAACTCCGTCCAAGATCTTAACCACCGTAGCCATATCCGGTCTAACCTCTTCAGCTTGGTGTGAACATAACACTCCTAGCTTCAAAACAAGCTCGAGCTGTCCCTTATCATGATCTTTTCGGATTCTTTCATTAGCCGCCTCTGCGATATCCCCGTTCTCTCAACGATTAATCGTCCAATCTGCAAGCACGACCTCTTCGGGCTCTGCTAGTGGCTCAAACAGTTTTCTACCGCAAGAAACTTCAAGCATAAACACACCAAAGGCGTAAACATCTGTTCCTGTGGTTGGTCTTCCGGTTCTCATGAGCTCTGGTGCCATATACCCGAATGTTCCAGCTACTCTCGAGGTCTGAGCTTCATATCCTTGATCATATAGCTTAGCTAATCCGAAATCTCCAAGACTTGCATTCATCTTGTCGTCGATTAAGGCATTTGCTGGCTTGATGTCTCGATGAATCACGACTTGTAGCCACTCGTGATGGAGATAGGAGAGTGCAGAGGCAACATCTTTGATGATCTTGAAACGTTGAGTCCAAGAAAGCTGTTCTTGATTTGATTCGCCGTAAAGGTACTTGTCAAGACTTCCATTAGGCATAAAGTCATAAACCAAGTAGAGCTCTTCTTTGTGCCTACAATAACCAAGCAGCCTGACTAGATTCAGGTGTCTAAGACGACCGATAGTCGCTATCTCGGCCAAAAATTCACGCATTCCTTGACTTGAATTATGAGAAACGCGCTTAACAGCAATATTTGCCTTGGAACCTAGAAGTTGTTTGAAACCTTTTGTGGCTTTAAAGAGTTCTTTGTAAGTAAACCTATGAGGTCCATTTTGAATCTCCCATTCCTCTAGAACCTCTTTAACCTTTTCGTGTCTCTTATATAAGTAGAAACTAAAAGCTGCTGCAACCAGCGCAGCAAAGAGAGCCAGAGCCAAGCAGGTCACCAAAACAATCCGAATTACTTGAGATTTTGTCTTGGGATATGGAGGAAATGTCGGTATCCCAAATTCTAGTTGTGGAAGAAACAGAGAGACATAGATATGCCAGCTCAACAAGTAGTGCATTGCTCCAACCGACCCAGTGGAGGCTGCGAAGCCGATATACATATTCTCCAAAAGATAAGGTGACAGATTGTGGTTCAGTGAAAGAAGTGGCTGCTTGGGGTAATAAGTCTCCTCTGGTGATGATAAGGTGACATTAAGCAGTTTGTCCAACGGGCTATAAAATATCCCGACTCGAAGAAGTTCTCCACTGATCAAAGAAAGATTTTCGAATTGACCTTCTTGATCATAATAACCAGCAGGAGCAGAGACAATAGACCTCATTCCATTTATGTTGATACCAACATGGTTATCATTAATGTCGCCAAATTCATCATCTTATTAATTTATATTGAACTCCACAGCAATCACATGATTCGAGCTATTCCCGTTGTTTGTTTGGTTGAAGATTCCGAGGTATTGATCGGCGGATGCACCGGGAATTCCCCTCCGTTGGTGAGATCACAAAGGCCATACCGTGAGAGCCTTTGTTCTTATGCTCAGGGACAATAGCAAAGAAGAAGGTGAAAGAGAAAGAAATCATTGTACCGTTGGTGGAATTCTTGAAACGGAATGGTTTGTCGTTGAATCCTTGACCATATGCGTGCTTCTTGGTGCTAGTCAACGTTCGGAAACCTTTGTAAGAAACCGCAGATCCCTCCCAAACCAGCTTGCCATAGGAGTTTTCAGTACAACAGAACAGAGCAAGGATCAAGAAAACAACCCGTGAGACGATTTTATGAGACATGATCTTTGATCGATGGGTTTAGAAACAAAGAGCTTATATCTATGAAAGTCAAGTACAAAGACTTAAAAGACTAAAAAACTAGCTACATGTTGCACAGTCAATGCCTGAAATCAATTAACTAACTAATGACTTTAGATAGAAGAAAGATACCAACTAGTCCAGACCTACAAAGACTTTAAAACAGAGAGCTACATGTTGCAGAGTCAATGTCTGAAATCACTTAATTAAGCAGTTCATGGTGTCCAAATCCTCCATGGATTATGGAAGAAACAAAGAGCTAGTCAAACATAAGTACTTAATCAAGGTTTTGCCACAAGATAAAATATTATACATCAACATTGAGAAACAGTCCAACCTGCTTATACAGTTATGATATATGAACACTACAGAACACCATTGCTATTTTACACAACATAACAATTAGATAGATATGATATTCTTCCTAAAAACAACAATATTGTTAGGATAAAAATTTTGGGGATATTCTATCAACAAGGCTAAAATCCACGAAAAAAATAACATTAGTTAATAATTTTCTCTGTATCATCCAATCTTTTAGAGAATAAGTCAACTAAGCCAAGAAAAAAAAACACATGAACTAGTCAAAACCTGCAAAGACTAAAAACAGAGAGTTAGCTATATATGTTGCAGAGTCTATGCCTAAAATCAATTAATTAACTAATGACTTCAAACACAAGAAACATATGATTTAGTCAAGACCTGCGAAGACTTAAAAACACAGCTTCATGTTTTTTTGATAAAAAGTGGTACATGTTGCAGAGTGAATGTCTAAAACCAATTAATTAAGCAGTTCATGTTGTCCAAATCTTCCATGGAAAGAGCTAGTCAAACGTAAGTACTTAATCAAGGTTTAGTCACAAGAGCTATACATAACATAAGCATTGAGAAATAGTAAGCCTAACCAATTCATGGTGATGAGTTCGTTGAAAGATTCACAATGGGGTTGAAGACCAGGGTTCGAGTTCTTCCACTGTGATTTCTATATGGATTGGCTACTGTGGACTTCTTAAGTAGCTCAGCTTTCAGAAGCTCCACGGATTAGTATGGATTTCGGTCCACGATCCCCGGTTATCACATTTCCTAGTTTGTCCATGCGCTTGATGGTATCTGCGCACATTAGAGCACTTCTCAGTTCTGTTTTATGCTAAGCAAAAGCCGAACCAAGTCCAAGATAAATTATGGGCATCTACAAATATAGATATTCACATTGATGAAGCCGATTTAAGTAGA